GGGCCGCCTCCTCCCTGCCGGGAGGGTGGGGCTGATCCTCACCCGAGGCGCCGCGCGGTCCCCGCGCCCCCGGCAGGATTCTAGGCTTGGAGCGGCGCACACGGAGGGGAGAAGACCCCCACACACCCTGGTCATCCGGGGTCCTTGTCCCCGAAGAGGTCCCCGCCCCCTAGGTGGTCCCACAGCTCTTCTGTCCCTCCCGTCCACGCCAGCACCGGGGGAAGCTCTGCCTCGATAAACCGACTTTAATGTGCAGGTTACACGGCCTGTCCAGCGGGTCCGCGAAGTGCCCTGAAAGGACAGCTCCGCCAGCGCGAAGTGGACAGGGCGCCCAACTCTCGTGCGCCTGGGAGCCCTTGCACACGACTCCCCAGGAGGGCAACCTCCAGCCAGAGGGCCCGGAGGTCGGAGTCCACCTCTTGTGTGGCGGCTGCAGGCGGTTTCCTTGGGCAGTCAGTGGCCACCGCGGCCGCCCCAGGCTCCAGGTGGCCAAGGGGCTGCCATATTTGGGCCCCTGCAAATTAACGTCCAGGCGTTCCACCTCTCCTGGGGTTCTCTGTATTTCTGGGGGTGCTGCGCTCCTTGGGGAGGTTAGTAACTCGGTAGAGGGTGCTGCTTCTAGTGCTCTACTGGCTGAGGGCCCACGGGAGGCCGCAGCATACCCACAGGGGAAGCGGGCAGGCTGGGGCCTGTAGCAGGGCCTGCTGCTGGCATCAGCGGCTGGCCTGCAGAGGGAGAGGCCCAGGGCTCCTGCTGCCCCCGAGTGGCCAGGGGCCCAAGGAGCAGGGTGTCAGGCCAGCCCTGACCACCCAAAGGCCAAGACACCAGAGAGCTCCAGCCTGGTGCCTGGAGGCAAGGACAGTGGGAGGGCCGACAGCAACACAGGCAGCTGGGCAGCCGCCCAGCATGAGGAGCAGAGGGGCCTCCTGGAGCGCTGACCCCTTCCACACCTGGAGGCCAGCATGCTCCTCTGTCCCCCCTGTCCCTTCCCCCACTTCCCAAGCCCCCCACGGAAAGGCAGTGTGAATTGATTCCCCACTCCCCTCCCCTCCCCAGGGGACAGGGAACTAGGGGCTCTGGGCCACCCCCGACCAAACAGGAGAGGGGAGGGCTCCACCACATGCTCCTCTTGTGGGCGCAGACTCCCTGGCATGGTCAGTCTGTCCAGCTGCACGAGGCGGGAGTGCCTGCCTGACAGGCCATGTGCAGTCCAATCCTAGGGGGACAGGCAGCAGGCACACAGCCTTCAGGAGTTAGACTAAGGACGGGCACTCGGGGCACCAACAGTGACCTCTGTCACCAGACAGATGGAATGTGGGGGGCCTTGGTGAACCCCCGTGGCTGTTCCAGCCTGGTGCCTTCCAGTGGGCACTCGGCTGCTATGTACACTGGAGCAGTGGCCAGTGACTGCAGGCCATGAGTGTGGCTGAGTCCTCTGGAGAAAGGAACATCGCCAAGATCATGCAGGACTTCCTGCTTTCGGCCAGTCCCGGCTGCCCTTCCCTCTTAAGGAGACTGGTCACTTGACACCTGGGAACCCCCCCACCTGACAGCCATCTGAGGACAAGTTGCTCCATGCCCTCCCTCTAGCCTTCACCAGGTGCTGCCCGTGCAGGGGCCCACAGGCCAATGAAGACACACAGACAGGAGAGAGCAGGGCGAGGTGGCGCGGAGGCTGCAGGGTGGCAGCACTGTGTTCACAGAACAACAGCAGCTGTGCATCTGGGACCCCGAACAAGCCCCCGGTAAGAAAGAAGGAAGTTGTGTGTCCGGCGTGCACTCAGGTCTGGGAGAGACCATGCTGGGTAGGCATCCTAGCAGGGACAACCCCCTCCTGCCTCCATGGGACCAGGGCTGAGGGGGGCGGAGCAGGACAGACACCCTCTACTCGGGGAGCCCTGGGGGCTCTTCTCGGGGGATGGCCCTCGAACTTCCTTGTTGAGTCAGGAGGTCTGGGACCCGTTTCTCCACTCGGGAAGGGCTGTGGCCTTCTTGCCTGGGCCTCTCCGCCTCAGTGCTGCCCAGTCTGCTGGACTCCTACCCCCGCCGCCTGAGCATCCCCTCCCGAGCCCCTCAGCTCATCCTAGACCAGTGCCTATCCTTCCCTCTGGCTGCCTCTGCCTCCATCTCCCGACGCCTAGTGGTGATAACCCTGTTTCTGGTTGTTCAGGCCCCAAATGAACAGGCATCCTTGGCTTCTCTCATTCCACACCCAGTCACTCGCAAGCAGGTTGACTGCAGGGTCATGGCCCACCTCTCACTCAGCCCCTGCCATGGCTGGGCCCACGTCACCACCTGCCTAGCTCTCCTGGCTTCTACCCCGAAGTCTTCTCAGCACAAAGGCTGGCACGGCCCCTCACCTCAGGCCACAGGTCCCACCACAAGTACGGCCTGAGAGCTGGTGACAGCCTGTGTCCCTGTCTGTGTACCCCCTGGGGCATGGTCCTGCCTCCCCTCTTCCTGGCTGCTGAGCCTCCCTCAGATGTCCCCTCTGTGGGGCTCCACCAGCAACCTGGCCCCACCCCTGCCCCAGCCCCAAAGCTCATTGCACTGTTTGCTGCCCGTCTGTCAGCCTCGCTGAATGTGAATGCAACTGAGCCAGGGTTTTCTGTGCTGCTCACTGATGCCATTGTCTGGAGTAACGCCCAGCACCCAGTGGGCGCTTCAGCGTTTGCTGAACAAGTGAGGGGGAGGCTTCTGCTTGGCAGCCCCCAGACTGCTTCCTGACTCTCCCTGTTGCTTACAATTCGTTTCTCAAACTTCTGTGCAAAGGGAAAGCATGTGTCACTGGACCTTGGTGGTACCACCTTCACAAGGCTCACAGGCCCCCGAGCCCTGGGACTCACCAAGCCCCATCCAGGCTCCTGTCCCCTGTAGGGGGTGGGGGACTGGGGCTTGAGTTCACAGCTCCAGTCTGCCCTGACCGATCCCACCAGTGTGATCACAGCCCCATGGAGGCCCAGGCCCCACACACTGGCATCTGCCTGTCAACTGCTCAACAGCAGAGCGTAACTACAGCACCAACACAGAGGACCCACCCTTCCAAAGGTCTCCCTGGCCTCCCCCTCCTGGACTTGGAACCGAGCAGAACCCGCGGGCCCACCCCCCGCCCCCACCCAAGTACAAAGGCCCCTCCATGCCCCCTGCCTCTTGTTTGTAGAAAAGCTAGAGTCTCCCAGGACTCCCTGAGCCGCAGAAGAGCAGGCTCAGTCAGTGAGCGATCAGGACAGTAGAGTCACAGACGAGGTGTCTAATGAAGGAAAGAGATGAACACTATTGCTCATAATAACCTGCATCTCTGTGGGCAGCAGAACCACTGCGGTTTGCTCTGCCCGGACACACGAGCAGGCAGCTAACACTGTCGGCAGAGACGCAGCAGACCCACGTGGACGTCCTCCACTCTGAGAACCCAGTGCCCTGTGTCAGCATGAAGGAGTTCCAGGAGACGGGCTTTCGCGCCTGACTCCACAGGAACGGAATGGTGTCCAACAGTGGGGCTTTGTAAGCGGCTCTTTTGCCCCTTTCCTGCTTGTCTATTTCTGTTCCCCTAAAACCTTAATTACAGAAACGAGACCACTCCTGACTTCTGCTCTAGTGAGCGCACACAATGCCTCGCCTAACCTGTCGATTCCTTGCCTACATCAGAAGGAGAAAGAGCGAAGACTTCAGTAGGTAAAGGATGACTGACTCTACCACTAGATTCTCTAGTGGACCACATGGGCAAGGCAGCATCTAAAGTAAGATGAGCAGTGAGCGGGTCTGCACACAGTGGGAAAGTGACGAAGAATCGGACCTCCCTTCATGACTGACCGAGATCATTTCCTCTTTTGCCTTTTCTCATTGTCCTGCCTGAGCAGAATCTCTGGAGTTGGTCTCCAGACCTGAGTCCACCTTCTCGCCAGGTTGCTGGCTTTTCTTAATAAAGCACCTCTCCTTTCTACTGACATTTGCCTCGTGATTATTGGCATTTGAGTGGTGAGCAGCTGAACCTGAGTTGGGTGACAGACTCTTGCTGGGCCACTGTCCTGAAGGCCCTGTGGGCGTGGCTGTGGCTCTGTCCCCTCCGGCCCAGTGTCCTCAGTAGGTAACCAAGGGTTGTCCCAAGTGCACCAACTGGGCTTCCGAGGTCCAAGGACATGTGAGGAGGGAGGGCACTTTCAAAATCCCAAATTGCAGCCAGCAGTGAGGTCCAGGATATCTAACACACCAGTCAGGCAGGAGAAAGGACTTTCCTGCAAAGGTGGTGCCCATGTCCCCTGACCCACGGTGTGACTTGCTTGCCGCGTGGAGGTGGCATGGCCACCGCTGCTGGCAGAGATCACCTCTGGCCAGGCTGGGATCCGCCTCTCCAGCTCTCCCGCAGGAATGACCATGGGGAGATGGTTCTTTAGATATTCTGGACACTAGAGTCTTGTCAGGTACACAGTTTGCAAATACTTTCTCCCATTCTTTAGGCTGCCTTTTCACTTTCTTAACAACCTCCTTTGATGCACAAAAGTTATTAATTTTGCTAAAGTTTAATTATCAATTTTTTTTCTTTTGTTGCTCATGCTTCTGGTGTTGTACCTGAGAATCCACTGCCAAATACAAAGTCATGGATATTTCCTGTTTTCTTTTACAGATTTTTATAGTTTTACCTCTTAAATTTAGGTCTTGGATCCCCGTTAATTTTTGTGTATGGTGTAAGGTAGGGGCACAACTCCATTCTTCTGTGTGTGGATGTCCAGCCATCCCAGCACCATTCCTTAAAGAGAATATTCTTTCCCCATTGAATGGTCTTAACACCTTGTCAAAAATCAATTGGCTGCAGGTGTACAGGTTTATTCCTGAATTCTCAACTCTGTTTCATTGTTCTTTACCTGTCCGTCCTTATGCCAATGAGTTTTTTTGTTGCTGAATGCTTGTGTGATTTTGTGATATAATGAGAAATACATATTGGGTCTTCCTCCCTTGTTCCTGGCACTGAACTTCTAAAACCCTTGTAATTTCCTAAGTGATATGAGTGACAGGAACATCTTTTAAAATAATGTTCGTTCTCAGTACTCAGTTCCTGACATAAACACTTCTAAGACTCTGGGATCTCCAGAGTGATAAGAATCTTTCTGAATGCTAATGAGGTGACTGGTGCAGGGGGGGGGGCCCAGGGAGCATCAGGATGGGGTCCTGTGACCAGACAGACCAAGGCATGACTGGAGGGTTGGAACTTTCGACCACCCCATCCTGACCGTCAGAAAGGGAACGGGGGCTGGAGACTGAGTTAATCACCAATGAAAAATAAAATCTCCATAAAGACCCTAAGCCACACGGTTCAGAGCACTTCCACGTTGGCACACACATCAAGGTTCTGGGAGGGTGAAGTGTCTGCAGAGGACACAGAAGCGCCACTCACCCCTTCACCCAAGCTGTGCCTTCTCCATCCTTCCATCTGGCTGTTCCTAAGTTGTATTCCTCATAATGAACCATTAATAGTAAGTAAAGTGTCTTTCTGAGTTCTATGAGCTGTTCTAGCAAATTACTGACCCTGAGGAGGGGGCTGTGGGAACCCCCAATTTTGAGACTGAGGGTCAGAGGTACAGATGGCCCAGAGCTTGAGACTGGCATCTGAAGGGGTTGGGGCAGCCTGGGAGGGGTCTGCCCTAACCCTGGGGAGTTAGTGCTAGAACTGAACTGGATTCTTGGACATTCAGTTGGTGTCCACAAAGAACTGGAGAATTGTTTGATGTAGAAAAACCAACACCTTTGGTGTCAGAAGTGGTGCGAGAGTAAAAAAGAGTTTTGGGTTGGATTTTTTTTTTAATTTGTTGGGTTTTGTTTTGTAACCAAAGCATAAACAAGAAACACTGTGAATTACAGTCTTTTATTTTAAAGTATTTTCTCAAACATGATAATTTCCCTATAAATGGGCATGATTCCCAAAAGCATTTTTAAAGACTTGATTGAGATATAATTCACATACCATTTAACTCATTTGTTGAAAGCATGCCATTCAATTTTTTAGTTTTTCACAGGATGGTGCAGCCATCACGACAATGTAATTTTCAACACTTTCATCACTTAAAAGGAGCCTCATCAGTAATCAGTCTCCATTCCTACTTCTCACACTCTGCACTCGGTCTAAGCAACTATTTACCTATTTTCTGTCTACGGACTACCTATTCTGGACATCTCATATAAGTGGAATCACACATCTTTCACTTAGATTAATATTTCCAAGATTAATCATGGTATAGCGTACATCAGTACTTCATTTCTTTTTTAATTAGTGTATTATTTTATTTATTTTATTTTTTAATTGAAGTATAGTCACTTTTACAATGTTGTGTTAGTTTCTGGTGGACAGCATAGTGATTCAGTTATATGTAGATATTTCTTTTCACATTCTTTTTCATTATGGGTTATTACAAGATATTGAATATAGTGTGCTGTGCTGTACAGTAGGACCTTGTTTATCCAGTTTCATGAAGATTTTCCGTGTAGCTCCAAGTGTACCAGATCTTTTGCCAGAGTCCATCAGGTGTTCCGTGAGAACTGTTTCGCGTGGGGACGTATCTGGATGCACATGTGGGAGAGGGTGAGCTCCGCGTCCTTCTATGCTGCCATCTTTATGTAGCCAGATATTTTTTTGGAGGGGAGAGGTAATTAGGTTTGTTCGTTTGTTTATGTATTTTAACTGAGGTACCGAGGATTGAACCCAGGACCTTGTGCACGTGACCTACCACTGAGCTGTACCCTCCCCCTTATTCTGCCATCTTGAAGCCAGTTTTTAAAAAAGCAACTCTAATGTCCAGGCTTCCTCACAACAGTCTTCAGTGACTGCTTTTTTTTTTCCTTGAGTATAGACTATACTTCGCTTCTTTGCATATTTCATAATTTTCTTTAAAACTAGAGTGTGACAACTCTGGAACTCAGATACTCCTTGCCTTACCTGCGTTTATTGTTGTTGTTGGTTTGTTTAGCAAATTCCTTGAACTAATTTTGTAAAGTCAGTTAAGTCTCTACTCAGTTAGCTTAGTGGCCAGTTAATGAGCTGAAAGAGATTCCTCACATGCCTCGAGCCTCAGCCTTTGCTGACAGGCCCTGTGTGTGTGTGTTGAAACACGTCTTCAGAGCCCCAGAAGGCAGCTGACAATTCTGCCTTGGCCTCCAGCCTCCACTTCCTCCTTGTACAGAGCAGCAGAGCCTCAAAGTCAGCCAGAGGTGAGAGCTTAGGGCCTCGTCAGCTCTTTCCTGGACACGTGTACACAGTCTTCTAGATTCTCACAAATATGCTGAAGCTTTTGAAAGCCCCCCTATGAACATCTCATTCCACAGCTTTTCTTTTTAATTTTTTTGGTCTGCTTATCTGCCTCCACTGCTATCATCCCCTCGGGCAGCTGCGATGTTAAACAGTTGCTGCTGATGGTTAATCACAAATGTCCCAGGAGATAAGGCTGTTTGCACCGAGCAAGTCCAGTCGAGTCTAATGAAGACAAGGCCTGTGAATAGAAATTTCCAAGGAACCAGTAGACAAAGAACGACATTTATCTAGGAAAGGTGCTTTTGGGGGGGCTCCTAACCACCTTACCTCTTCAGAGGCTGTTAGGCTACTGGATTTCACCAATTTGTGGAGCTGCTGGTTTTCAAGGCTATCAAAATGCCACCAATCTTGCTGTTCTGAGAATAGCAAATTTTCTCAAATAAAAGTTCTTTGGATTTTTGCAAGCCTCTCCTTTAGTTTCCAGAATTCTGAAAAAGTTGTTTTGACAATTTTTGCCAGTGGTTTTGCTGCTCTTACAGAGGACTAAATTTTCAGAGGTCTGCATTCCACCAATCCCACTGATGTTCTATGTATAATATTTTGTGGGGATGTATGTTTTCATTTCTCTTGGGTATATAACTAGGAGTGGTAGGTCACATGGTAACTTCATGTTTAACTTTTTGAGGAATTGCCATACTTCCCCTTCATCGCTGTGTCATTTTACATCCCCAACAGCAATGTATGAAGGTTCCAATTTCTCCACATCCTTGGCAACACTTGTCATTGTCTACCTTTTGATTAAAGCCATCCTAGTGGCTGTGAAGTGATATCTCACTGTGGCTTTGACTTGCACTTCCACAACGACTAATGATGTCGAACATCTTTTCCTGTGCTTTTTGATCATTTGTATATCCTCTTGGAGAACTATCTGTTCAAATCCTTCTTCAAATCCATTTGTAAACTGGCTTATTTGTCTTTTTGTTATTGAATTATAAGAGTTCTTTACATAGTCTTGATACAAGACCCTTATCAAACACGATCTTAAAATATTCTCTTCAAATGGTGGGTTGTTTTTTCACTTTCTTGATGGTATCATTTATAGCACAAAGGATTTTAATTTTGTTGTCCAATTTATCTATTTTTCTTTTATCACTTGTGCTTTTGATGTTATATCTAAGAAGGTTCTGCTTAACTCAAGGTCACCAGGATTTATTCCTCTGCTTCCTTCCAAGAATTTTATAGTTTCAGCCTTACATTTAGGTATGATCCATTTTTAGTTAATTTTTGAATATGATGAGAGGTAGGGGTCCTATTTTGTGCTTTTGTACATGGATATCCAGTGTCCCCAAATCATTTGTTGAACATACTATTCTTCCTCCACTGAAATGTCCTGGCATCCTCATCAAAATTCAACTGACCATATATGTAGGGGTTTATTTCTCAACTCTCATTCTATTCATCTACATGTCTGTTCTTATGTCAGTAAGAACTGTCTTGATTACTGTATGTTTTGGGGAAAATTTGAAACTGGAAGCATAAATATTCCTACTTGGTTTTGTTTTTTCAAGACTGTTGTAGGTATTTCAGATTCCTTGCAATTCCGTATGAATTTTAAGATTAGCTCATCAATATCTGTGATGAAGCTGCCTGGTATTTCAATAGGGATTACACTGGATTGGTAGATCAATTTGGGGAGTATTACCATCAAAAATATTAAGTATTCTCATTCATGAACCTAGGATTCCCCCCCCCCATTTCTTTAGATCTTCTTTAATTACTTTCAACAATGTTTTGTAGTTTTCAGAGTAAAATTTTTATACTTCTTTTGTTAAATTTTAGCATTTTATTTTATCCTAAGTATACATTCTTTTCAATGGTACTCTGAATGGAATTGTTTTCTTAATTTCATTTTCGGATTGTTCACTGCAAGTGTGTAGGAACACAACTGATTTTTGTATATTTACCTTGTATTCTGCAACCTTACTGAACTTGGTCATCCAAGAAGTTGTTCTTTGGATTCCTTTGGATTTTCAGTGTGTAAGACAATGACATTTGCAAACAGAGATAGTTTTAATTCTTCTTTTCAAGTCTGGATACCTTCTACTGCTTAAATAGAAGAGGCAAGAGTAGATATTCTTGTCTTGGTCTTGGTCTTGAGGGGAAGACTTTTAGTCTTTCACCACTAGAAAAGATAACAACTATGTGTTTTTCATAGATGCCGTTTATTAGGTCGTGAAAGTTCCCTTCAATTCGTAGTTTGTTGAGCATTTTTATCATAAAAGTATGTTGGATTTTGTCATATGTTTTTTCTGTGTCTGTTGATATGATCATAGGGTTTATGTCTTTCATTCTATTAATATTGTATGTTATGTTAACTGATTTTCAGATATGAAACTTACCTTGTATTCCTGAGTTAAATCCCACTTGGTCATGGTGTATAATGACATTCATATGTTGCTGGATTCAGTTCGCTAGTATATTGCTGAAGATTTTTTTCATCTATTTCACTGGGGATTGTAGCCTGTAGGGTCTTTGTCTGGTTTTGGTATCTGGGTATTACTGGCCTCGTAGAATGAACTGAGAAGTGTTCTTTCCTCCTCCTTGAGTATTTGGTAGAATCAGCCAGCGAAGCCGTCAGGTCAGGTTTTCCCTCTGGACTGCTTTACGTTACTAATTCGACGTCTTAATGTGTAGACCTGTTCAGATTTTCTGCTTCTTGAGTCTATTTCAGTCATCTGAGTCCTTCTGAGAATCAGTCCTTTCTTTCATCTAGGTTACTGGCACACAGTGTCTGCAGTGTTTCCTGGTAATCCTTTCTGTTTCTCTGTGGTGTGTCCACTTGTTTTGTAAACAAGTTGTACTGGTGTGCAGCCATGCCCACTCATTTACATATTGTCTATGGCTACTTGCAGAGGTGAGTAGCAGCAACAGAGACCACTTGGCCCCTGGAACCAAAAACATTTACTATCTGGACCCTTATAGAAAAAAAAATCTTTTGGTCGCAGGTTTACAAAAGTGAAGTAACAGGCACTACAGTAAAACTGGAGCTTTTCTCAAGAAAAGCATGAGAGGCACATAATAGTGTGAAATGAATTAAACACACTCTGCTTTTGTGACTCTCAGCTCAAAGCTGCATTCCTGCCTAATCCCACAAACATCTTCATTTCTGGGGAACAAATTTCCAGACCAGATTTGGAACAAAGATCCACCTTCACAGAATAAACAGGAAGTTCAGAAGTGGTGGCTCCCTGGGCACACCGGGGAGAGTGACAGACGCTGTGCAGTGAGCAGCCTCTGCTCCTGGCTGGGGGTCCTGTAACTTCAGAGCCTCTTTCTGAAGCAGCATGAGGGTCCAGACAAGCACAGCTCCCCAGTGACCCGAGTATCACAGGCAGGCTGTGAGGGAGCACTGTCTTGGTCCCCACCTGGCCCCACAAAGGAGGGACTCAAGTCCTTCTCCTCATGTCCACTCCACCTTGAAAACTGACCATACAGCATCTGTCATACCGCGTGTACCTGTGTGTGTGTCTCACACTCATCCCAGGATCCTTAGACTTCCCGCTCCGCACATCACCAATTCCCCATGCTTATTTCCAGGAAAGTCCACACCTCTGCCCACCATACAGGCCACCGACACCCAAATCCTTTCAGAGGAAGCCAAAGGGAGACAGTAATTCTGGCTAACAGATGATCCAGCACAGAAAGTGTCCTGGTGTGAATCCCTCCTTTCATGTGGGCCTTGGCCATGAGCCCCGACAAGCTCTGGATCACGACTCTCTCAATAAACGCGCTGCCCCATCCCCGATGCCTGCAGGACAGCGTGCGCCCACCTGCATGGCAGCTTTGTCCTCTGGCTGCCTCCTGTACATCCTACAGGTGCCCCGCAGTGGAGGCCCCAACACCCAGGAAGAGCGACACTCTCCTGGCAACAGGCCTTTTCACTGTCTCCACCCCAAGCTCACTTTCACAGCTGGCAACGTGCAGCTCCGAGGCCCCTGCGTGGGCCCTTCCTGACTCAGGTCCTCTCCGATGGCTCCCACAGCACCGGCTCACCACGTCTGACAGCGGTCCAAGTCCTAGAACCCGTGGTCACCCTTCTCCACCAGGCCATGAAGGCTGGTCAGGGCAGGACTGGCTGATGAGGATGGAAGGCCCAGCATCCTGCAGCCAAGTATCTGATGCCGGGATTAGGCACGGGGAGAAACCATGGCAGACAGTCGCTGCTTTCACTACAAAAGGACGTGGGTTCCTAACGGTCCATTAAAGCCCTTAAAATAGAGCCCCCAAACCACTTCCTGGAGCCTACAGCTTCCAAATGGCTGTACGAAAACGCCTCAACAATTCACTTCGTAAACCTGTGCCAGAAGCAATTCATAGACAGAACATCTGGCACCTGATGGGATGCAGCTGCTGATGAGCCACAGTTGACCTGAGATACTCATGTGACCCGCAGCTGGGATTTCTGTCACCACCATCTCCTGAGGTCACGGGCCTCTGTCTTCTTTCTCACCTTTACCAGCTTTAATTCCAGGCCTCGGTGTTGCGGAAGGCACCATGGCTCATCTGGGCTGACCCGGCAGTGGTCGCCCAGCGCTGCAAGGCTGGCGTGTCCAGCAGATGTCTCGGTCACGGGGCAACGCTGTGCCCAAGTCTCACTTCCAGAAAGTTCCCTCCTCCACCGTCACGTGAGACTTCGTTTTACGCTGGCTGATGTTAAGGGTTTGAAGTGTCTTCCCAGCTAGTGCTGGATGTGATGAAGGTTAGAGAAAGAGAAATTTAAAATCGGAAAGACAGATCCTGCAGTCCTAACTCTGAATCCCTTTACTATTTCACAGCTATGCTGATTAAGACGGAAAAACCTGTCTGAGTAGTAACTGACCAAGAGCCTTCTGGGCTGAAGAAGTTCCTTCTTCAGATCATGAGAGTGTGTGAATGTTTATACTGATGTCAGAAAATATGGTGACATGGATGAAATAAAAAGCACAAAACATCCACTTCAGGGCTGGAGGTAAGGCGCTGCTTAGAGGGAAATTGTTTAGTTTTAAATGTCAAGACTGGAAAAGAAGGATGATCATAAATCAGGAAACTAAGTTTCCACCTTACAAAACCAGAAAAAGAAGAGCAAACGCCAAGGCGACAAGTGAAGAGCAGAGCAGAAATCAAGGAAGGAGAACAGACGAGGAAGAGAGAAAAATCATGGAAATAAAAAGCTGGCTTTTCACAACAGTCAAGAAAACTGACAAACCTTCGACGATTAAGAAGGAAAGAGAAGACACGAATTACCAGAATCAGAAATGGAGGAGAGGGCATGACAGGTGATCCTTAAGAAATTTAAAGGACCCTCAGTGAATGCCATGAAAGGCTTATGCCAGCACTGAGAAGAATTACATGATTTGGATAAACTCCCAGGAAAGATAAATGACCAAAACTGACAACAAGAAACAGAAAATCTGAACATATTTATAGCAAGTAAAGATGTTGTCTTTATAGTTTACGATCTTCCCACACAGAAAAGCCCAAGCCCAGAAGGCTTTCTCTTTAGAATCCTACCAAATCTTCAGAGAAGTTATAAACAACAAGTCTTTCACGGACTCTCTCAGAAAACCGGAGGGATCACTTCCCATCTCACTCATTAAGGCCAATACTAACCTACTTAACAAAGTCAGACAAAGACATTGCAAAAAAAGAAACCACAGACCAATTGTCACAAAAATAGACAGAAAATATCCTAAATTATCAGTGAACCAAATCCAGCAACACACAAAAGCAGTCATACCCCATGACCAGGAATGCAAGATTGGCTAACATCCAAAGTCAGTTCACATAATACATTTAACTAACAGAGGACAAAAACCACATGACCATCTGAACAGATGCAGAAAAAGCAATTGACAACATCCAGCACCTTCTCAGGACAGAAACTCTAACTTCCCCCAACCCACAGTTAACACCATACTCAGCGGTGGAAGACCAAATTCTTCCCCCTAAGATGACAAACAAGTCACGGTTGTTCATTCTCTTTAATTCTATTTGACACTGTACTGGATGGTCTAGTCAATGCAACATTGAAACAAACAAACAAGCTGAACAGAATTGAAGTTACAAAGGAAGATGTAAAACTGTGTCTGCAGGTAACCACCACACAGTGTTTCACAAACCCCAGGAAATCCACTGACACGCTAAGAACTAGTAAATAAGCGTAGTGAGTGCACAGAATACAGATGAATACACAAAGGATCAATTATATTTCTAAAAACTAGCAAGAAACAATTAAAATGAAATGAACAAAACAGTCTCGTACATAATAATGTCAAAAAATAATGGAAAACTTAGAAATAAGTTTAACAAAAGTATTTCAGGATTTGTGTGTTCAAAGTATAAAATGTCATTGAAAATAAATGCACAGACATTCCGTGCTGAATGCATATAAAATTCAAGATGACAATTCTTGCCAAATTGATTGACAAATTCAGTGCAAGCCCTATCAAAATGCCAGTAGGTTTTTAAATAGAAGTTGACAAATTAATCCTAAAATTTACGTGGAAATTCAAAAGGCCTAGTTTCAAACAGTGTCAAAAACTGTTTTGCAAAATGCAAACAAATTGGAATACCAGCCCTGTCTGATTTCACACTTAACATAAAGCTATGGCAACTGCGTGACTGGCATAAGGCTGAGCACACAGACCAATGGAAGAGAATTAAAAATCCAGAAATAAATCTTTACATTTCTTGTCAATTCATTTCCACCAAAGGTGCCGAGACGATTCAGTGCAGAAGGACAGTCTTTTCAACAAATGATGCTGAGACAACTGAGTAGCTACATGCACCCCTTAAAAAAAGGAAAGGAAGAAACTTACACCCTTACCATGCATCATACACAAAAATTAATTCAAAATGGACTGCAGACTTAAATGTAAGAGTTAAATCTATAAAACCAGGAGAAAAAATATAGGAAATCACCACACCCTTGGGTTAGGCTAAGGGCTCTTAGGACTGCAAAAGCATGATCTGTTAAAAGAAAAAAAATTGATTAAGAAGTTGGACTTTATCAAGATTGAAACTTTTTACCCTTCAAAAGATATCATTAGGAAAATAAAGACAAGCTACAGACTGGGAGAAAATATATGTACATCACATAGTTGATAAACGACTTCTATTCAGAATACATAAAGAAGGCTAAAAATTCAGCAGGACAAATAAGCCAATTAAGACGTGGACAAGAGTTTTAAATTTCCAAAAAGATACATGAATGGCTAATAACCGCTTGAAAAGAAAAGATACTTAACATCATCAGGCGTAAGAAAAAAGCAAATTAAACCCATGATGAGGCACTGGATGACAACCACTGGAATTGCTGTAATAAAAAGACAGCATCAAGTCTCGACGTGAACATGGAAGAACCAGAACCCTCCCTCATACGTGCTGGTGGGGATGTGAAACCGGGCGGCCGCTGTGGAAAGCAGTTTGGAAGTTTCTAAAAAGCAAAGCAAATTTAGCACATGACCCAGCAATTACACTCCTACGTATTGACCCAGGAGAAATGAAAATATACGTCTGCACAAAGACTTGTAGGCGAGTGTTTGTAGCTGCGATATTCTTAACCCCAAACTGGAACCAGCCCAAGTGTCCCTCGGCTGGTGAGTGGAGAAACATAGTGTGGTCTCCGTCCGTAAAACAAACTGTTTCTCAGCAACAGGAGGGCACTAGCGGCCGAGCCCAGCTTCCACGGGACGGACCTCAGACACAGCTGCGAGTGAAGGGAGCCAGACGTGGAAGACCACTCGTCCTGAGCCTGTGTTTATCTGAAACGCCCAGAGGAGGCACTGCTGCAGAGGCAGGAAGCAGGTCGGCCGGGAGGGGAGGTGCTCCCGGGGCAACAGAGATGTTCTGGCCCTGAGCCTGGCCTGCTCTGCAACACGACAGACGGACGGACAGCCACTGAGCTGTGCCCTTAGGATAGATGAGGTTTACAGCCTTTAAATTATACCTGAATAAAGAGGTTAAAGGAAGAAAAAGACTGGACTGAATGTTCAGCCATGGGATGGGGCTGCCTTTTATTATCTGAGAGCCTGGGATCAGAGATGCTTCCTCCAGCTGGAAAACTGGCCCAGTTGTCCTCAGACCGGCCCAAAATAACTTGTCTTACACGAGGTACAAAATATTTAATGTCACAAAAAGAAAAAACAAAACAAGGCTCCAACCCCTCTGGGAATCAACCTGTGGTCAGAGTGAAGTGGTGGCGGGGAGACAGGGGCTACCACAAGGGGGCGCCCACCTGAGGCCGCATCACTGCATCCGCCTGAGCTCAGTCTGCCTCCAAGAATCAAGGGAGAGTAAGTCCGTGAAGAGAAACACAGGACAGCTCAAAGGGCAACATTTCACAATGAAAACAGAGTAGCAAACACAGGCTGTAACACAGTCGCAAACTCTCCCTGCAAAGGGGCGCCCGAGGCCTCTGTCAGAGGCTGGTGCTTTGTGTTCAGGAGCCTTTACGGATATAGAGACCATTCCCACCTGGGGCTAAGTGTGCTGACCCTCAGTTAGAGAATTAACGAGAAGCTCTGCCCGGCCGTCATCTCCCCAAACCGGCAGCCCACTCCACACACCGTCCTGCACCCGCTTTCTCCACTCAGCACTTCCGTGCATTTGGGAGGCCTCATTTAGTCCACTTTTCAGTGCGAGATGGCTTATTCTGACGTTTTGCTAGTGCCACTGATCAAACAGGGACACGAAACGGAGCAGCCAGCTCTGGTCAGCAACCCTTCTTGTCCTCGGCCACCCAGGTCTCCGGCTTTAGGAGAAAAGGTCTGGACACTCTTAACAGCACTGGACCCTCACGTGGGCCTGGGGTTCCTAAACTGTTGCTTTCTTCTTACTTTGGGGATCAGTGTTGGATTAATACGGCGAACTTCTGATTTCAACTCCAAATACCACCAAGAATTTGTACTCAGTTTCTTGAGCATAGCAGGTTCTTAAAAATGAGTGACCGAGTCCCATTCCTCAGATGAGAGCTCATACACACACTCATGGCCTTTGGAAAAGGTTAAAGCACCTCACAGACACAAGACAGTGTTTTAACATCTGAGAACAGTGGATCCAAAAATAAGTCAGAGACCATTCGAACCAGACAACATGAAGACGGTGGTTCTCAACGTGGTGGGAGGCGGTTACCTTGCAGTCTTTGGAGACAGGCAGGGGCGATTTTAATTGTACAACGACCAGAGAACACCTTGAGCATTTGCTGGGATGAGGCTGGGGATGGACACACAGAACGATCCCACAAAATAGCTTCCACATCCAAAGTACCAAGTACCGCTGAGTCGTACTCCGTGAGAGCATCACTGTCCCAGGGAGGCAGCATGCCCAGGCCAGCTTTCCTTCACTAGCCAGTGGAGTGAACCCAGCACTCCTGATTCTGGAAATAACCATTCTAACAGAGAACCCCACTATACATTTAAAACAGCCTGCATAAGAGTTAATACAAGGGGGCAGGATTCTAGCTAAGGAGCGTTTTCAGTTTTCTAGACCTGCGATGAAGCGAACCCAAATTCAAACCTGATCCAGAGGAAAACGCAGAGGGAACGACTCACCGGCAGTCCCGGGTGGCAGCACTGAGGGCTGGGGTCGCAGTCGGGGCGGCCGCGGCTGCGCTCACACTGGGCTCTCGATGGGGACCGGTCACTGCGTCCCAGCAGGCGCCCTGCCATGCTGATCACCCCACGTTGTTATCTCTGCCTCCTTCCTTCTTGTCTGTCTCCTTCCCAGGCTCAGCCATGGCTGGGTCCCAGGGCCCTGCACGTGGATGATAAAGGATGGATTAGTAGAGAAGTTACTTGTTTCGTGCAGTCAAGAAAATATATTCTCTATTTCACACTTACCAGCAAGCTGTCTTCTAGCTTAAGGAGGGAGCTCTGTGAAGGATGGTGACACTCAGGTCTTTTCAAGAACTGGCCCCAAATTCCAGGAGGAGGTTAGTGCAGGACAGTTGAAAACCTACATTTATCCGGCTTGACAGAACCCCTCTCAAATTACACCAGGGGAGGTTTTCTCTGTTTAAAAGCCAATGCATAAGACCCTATATTTATCCCAGTGAAATGTCAGCGACCTGGGTCCCAGCCTGTTGAGATCTGCCCAGATTCTAATTTTGTCCCTGAACTTGCCTCATTCTGCAGCCAAGAGTGCCGGTAACCTCCCCTCCAGCAAGACAAGCAGCAGAAGAAAACACAGAGACTGAAAGCAGCAGACGGGGGAGCAGTGTTCCCAGGACAGGTGACTCGGCGCCAGCGACTCCTGTCCCGGGGTGTTAGTGAGCGACCTGCCAAATCTGTGCTGTGGGCTGGATGTGATTTTAAAAGAAAGACTGTCATCCTGGGTTAAGTAACCAAACCAAAGGGCAGGAAATATTTACACCAGAATTCCCTTTATCATTTTTGGGAAAAATCTCATACTTTCCTTAATAGTTTCTTCTGGGGAGAGAGATCCTGTTTTTGAACAATACAATCTTCATTGACACATTCCTATCGGGAATAGATAAAATCATATGACTGTCTCAACAGATACAGAAAAAGTTTTGATAAGTTATGTCACTTCATGATAAACACTTTCGACGAATTAGGCATAGAAGGATCATACCTAAACATAAAGGCCGCATATGACAAGCCCACAGCCAGCATCAGAGTCAATGGTGAACAGTTGAAAGCTCTTTCTCTAAGATCAGAAACAAGACATGGGTGCCCACGGTCATCACTCCTGTTCAGCACAGTACTGGAAGTCTTAGCCAAAGCAGTCAGGCAAAGTTGTCTTTGTTTGCAGATGATATGATCTTATATAGAGAAAATCCTAAAGACTCTACCAAAAACTGTTAGAACTAATCAACAAATCTAGTAAAGTTGCAGGATACAAAATCAACATACAGAAATCAGTTGCATTTCTACACACTAACAGTGAAATATCTGAAAAAAAGACATAAAACTATTCCAATCATCATAACATCAAAAATAATAAAATACTTAGGAATAAATCTAGTCAAGGAGGTGAAAGATCTGTACACTGAAAACTGTAAGGCTTTGATGAAAGAAACTGAAGACATAAATTGAAAGACACCTGTGTTCATGAATTGGAAAAATTGATATTGTTAAAATGTCCGTACTGTCTAAAGCCAGCTCTATGCCTGAAAGATGCAGGAGAGTAGATCCTAAGTGTTCTTACCACAAGAGAGAAGCAGCAACTCTTCAAGGCAATAGGGGTGTTACCTAGCCCGACTGTGGTGGTCATCTTACAGTATGTAAGTGTATGAAATATCACACTGTACACTTCAAACTTACAGAGTTTTATGTCAATTACATCTCAATAAAGCTGGAAAAAAAGACACTATTCTTAAACCAATAATCTAAGCTTCCATCATGTCATTTAATTGGAATCAGTATGTAGCCTTTTCAAATTGGCTTCTTTCACTCAGCAATACCCATTTATGATTTCTCTACATTTCACCTGGAAAAGGGAAAGCAAAGTAACACGAAAAAAAGGAGTAAGGAAATAAAGGCACGGATCAATAAAATTGAAAGCAGAAAAATAGAGAAAATTTAAGAATTAAACTAAAGGTTCTGAAAGATCAAAAAAATTGGCAAACCTCTTGCAAGATGAACAAAGGGAAAAAGAGGCAAGCTGCAAATTAATTACCAACATCCAGGGACAAAATTGGGGATAAAATATGAGTTATCACTTCAAACCCTGCAGATGTCAAAATGATAAAGGAATAGTAGGTACAGCTCCATAAATGAAAATTTGACAGCTTGGATGAAATGGACCAATTCCCCAAAAACACAAACCACCACACTAATCTAATATGAAATAGACACTCTGAATGGTCATATAATGATTAAAGATGTTGAATTTGTAGTGAAGGAATTCTTGAAAAAGAAATATCTATTGCCAGATGGTTTCATGAAGAATTCTGCTAAGTTGTTTGAAGAATCAACATCAATTCTATACAGTCTGTTCAGAAAACAGAAGAGGTGGGAATACTTCCAAGTTTATTTTATGAAGTTAGTATTACCCTGATATGAAAGTCAGAAAATAGTGCAAAAGGGAACTACAGGACAACTACAAATAGTACAAAACAGAAACCCACAGGCGTAAGTAGGCACATGAAAATTCTTAACAAGGTGTCATCAACTGGAATTAACACATGAAAAGAACTACACACCATGACCAAGCATGGTTTATTCCAGGCGTGCAGGGATGGCTCGGCGCTCACACACCGATCAGTGTGGTCCCCTGGGCCAACTGGCTGGGTGAGGAAGATCACATCCTCCTAGCAACTGAACTGACACAGAAGAAGCATGTGGCGAAGCCCAACACCCATTCACGGAGACTCCCAGAAAACCAGGGGTAGAGGGGGATTGCCTCAGTTTGAGGAACAACACCTCAAACCCCTACAGCGAACACTGTACTTAGCAGTGAGAGACTGAAAGCTTTGCCGCTAAAATCAAGAATGAGAGATCGGCCCTCCTGTTGTCCAAAGGGCTTTTACCCCGAGACGCTGTGGACTCTGTGGGCACTGGATGGTTGGATGTGTGGCTTTTAAAGCGGTGACTGCTGCGGTTGCCTGAGCAGGCTTCGCGGTGACCCTCGGCCTCCTCAGTCACTGTGCGAGAGTAGAACTGTGATGTGAAATCAGTAACTTGATTTTCAGCTAAAGTGTTGAAGGAACAAAAAAAGCAATAAACAAAATACAAACAAAACATTCAACAAAATCCTGGAAATACCAGCCAGTGCAATAAGGAAGACAAAATAAAAGACATACAAAAAGGAAGAAAGAAAACTGCCCCTCTTTTCAGACGACACGATTGCCTATGTGGACAATCCCACAGAATCTGCAGGAAAATGCTGGAACTACTAAGCGAATTTAGCAAGGTTGCAGGATGTAAGAGCAACATATAAAAATCAAGTATATTTCTACACACTATCAATGAACATGCGGACACTGAAATTAAAATACGACACTATTTGTAATTGCTCCAACAAGTTCTTTGGTGTAAATCTGACAATACAGTTACAGGACTTGTATGACAAAAACCATACAATGCTGATGAAAGAAATCAAAGCCATGAATAAATGGAGAGGCATAGCATGTTCATTGGTTGGGAGACTCAACGTAGCAAGTAACCAATTTCCCCCCAAAATGGTATACAGTTTTAACACAATTACTATCAAAATCTAAGTACTTTTTAGAAGATTCAAATAAGCTTATACTACCATTTATATGGAAAGCACAGGTCCTAGAATAGCAAAGAACAGTTTTGAAGAGAAAAACAAAGCTGGAAAGTCGCTCTACCCAATGCCTTTCCACGTAGCTACAGTAATTTAGACAGTGGGATATGGAGAGAGACAAATACAAGAACAGAATGGAGAACCCAGAAAGACTCATACAAATATGTCCAACAGGTTTTCAAAAATTAATAGACAATTATTTTAGGGCAGTTTTAGGTTTACAAACAAGTTGAGTGGTTAGTACAGACAGTTCCCATATACCCCAGTGCCTTTGTTATTAACATTTTGCATTAGTGTGGTACTTTCATTAGAATTTAGGAACCAATATTATACATTATTATTAACTGAAGACTAAAGCCTGTAGTTCACATTACAGTTCACTTTGTGTTGTACATTCTATGAATTTTGACAAATGCATGATGTCACGTGTCCATTGTGTTGTACAGAACAGCTTCACCACTCTAAAACTCCCCTGGACTTCACTTGTTCATCTATTTCCTTCTGTCCAGACCCCTGCCCCCCATTGCAGAGTGTCTGGCAACCACTGATATCTTTTACTGTCTTTATAGTTCTGCCTTTTACTGAGTGTCACTTAATTGGAATTATGTCATTAAACTGGAATCAGTATGTAGCTTTTTCAGATTGGCTTCTTTCACTCAGCAACATCCATTTATGATTTCTCTACATCTTTTCATGGCCTTATAGCTCATTTCCTTTTGTTGATGAACAATATTCCGGTGCGTCGGCGTACGGCAGTTTACTTATTCACCTAGTACTGAAGGACATCTTGGTTGTTTCAGTCGTTGGCAACTATGAATAAAGATACTAAGACATTTGTGAGTAAGGTTTTGAATGAATATGTTTTGAACTCACTTGGGTAAACCATCTAGGAGCATGATTGTCCGATCATAGGAGACTCAACATAGCAAGGATATCAGTTTCCCCCAAAATGGTACCGTTTGTTTAGTTTGGCAGGAGACTGCCAGAACTGCCTTCTACAGTGGCTGCACCATTTTGCACTCCCACCAGCAATGAAGGAGCGTTCCTGTTGTTCCACACCCTTGCCAGCATTTGGTAGTTAGATTTTTGGAGTTTAGCCAATGTAATAGGTAGGTGGTGGTATTTCACTGTTCTCTGAAGTTTTAATTCCCTAATGACATATGGTTCCGGGCGTCTTCTCACACACCTATAGCCGTCTGTATGTTTTCTTTGTTGAAGTGTCTCTACAGACCTTTTGTCCATTTTTAAATTGTGTGGCTTTTCTATTGTTGAATTGTAAAAGATCTGTAAAGAGTTTGTATACATTGCATCCAAGTTCTTTATCAGATAGAATCTACCATAACACCCAATTGTACTTCTGAGTGTTTATCTCAGAAAAACAAAGATTTATATTTATACAAAAACTTTAACAGCAGCTTTAACTGTAATAGTCAAACCTGGAACCAGCCGTGATCGGTGTCTTTCAACAGGTGGTTAAATAAATGATGCAGCAAAACCACGAAATAGTATTCAGTGATAGAAAGGAACAAAGTATTGATGAATAAAACAATTTGAATTAATCTCCAATTATCCTGAGTGAAAAAGCCAATACCAATAAATTACACACTGTGTATGATTCCTTTTATTTTACATTCTTAGAATGAAAATGTGCAGATATGGAGAACAAATGAGTAGCTTTTGTGAGTTAAGGAGGTGATGGCTGAAAGGGAAGTGGTGTGGCTGGAAAAGAGCAACACGGCTTCACTTAACAATAGAATATACACTCTTCTCAAGGGTATACAGAACATTTCTATAATAAACCATAAAACAAACCTCAGTAAATCTAAAGGATACAGACAATACAAAATATTTTTTGACTACAATGGAACAAAGTTACATCTATTACAAAAACAGAATTGTGGAAATTAAACAGCACACTCTAAATGACCAATGAGTCAAAGAAGAAATCAAAAGGGAAATTAGAAAATAATATGAGATGAATGAAAAGGGGAACAAAACACACCAAAACTCATAGAATGCTCCTAAGGCAGTGCTTAGAATCAAATTTTTTAGCTTTAATCACACAACCTTCCATCTTAAGACACTGGAAAAAGAAGAGTACACTGAACCTGAAGCAAGCAGAAGAAAGAAAGCAAAGATTAGGGCACAAATTTGTGAAACAGAGAACAGGAAAACAATGGCGAAGATAAAGAAACCAAAAGCTGGTTTTTGTAAAGATCAACAAAATGTTGAAC